AGATAGATAGATAGATAGATAGATAGATAGATAGATAGATAGATAGAAAGTAAATCATCATGAATACTTGAAATTAAACATGGATTTCCTGGTCAGTTAAAGGTTATTCTTTTTCCTTTTTTAAAATCCACATACACATGTGTAAACTACATTGATGGGATCACACTACAATGAGCACAAAACCAGCCATCTATTTCCTGGATTTCTCCATAAAACCTGGGAAGGCTTTCTTAATGCCTTTGCTAGTCACAGAAAAAACTGTCTTATATTCCCTGTAAGTGCAGATTTTACTTTAAGATGGTACTTTATAGACAAAGTAAAGCATCTATTGAAAAATGTAATGCATCTTGCAGATGTTCTGCAGAGGTCCTCAAACAACCTTTTTTCAGATGTCTGTTTTGTGTCGGATTTATGTCTGAGGTCAGATTTAGTTCAGGTGCTGCTGCCCGTCTTGGCCAGCCCGTCCTGAAAAAGAGATTCTTAATAAAAATTTAAGGCTTTGCGGGCTGAACAAATGTCAATTAATAAATTAAAACAAATACCACATTTATGGGATTTAAAAAGAAATGGCGGTTTTTCACATATGGTTGTCTATGATTTAGAAGAGAAAAACGTGAAAGCTCTCCTCATGCCTTTGTGAACTGTGGAAAGAAAGCGTTGTGTTTTTGTCTCTTTAGGTACAGCTTTCACATACAGATGGTACTTTAGGGACAAAACGAGGCATCTATCTAAATGCATAGTGTCTCCTGCAAAGGCTGCATCCACCACGTTTTCTACTGAGCCAAACTTCTCGCAGAGGTTCTTAAACACTGGCCCCGTGGTGTGGAGCACAGTGTCACCATTCAGCAACTTCAAATCATACGAGTCCAGCTTATCCGTCAACAAGTCCAACCATTTGCCTTTGATTGCAGCCGTGTCGAGCGTTTCACATCCATCCTCAGGTTTGTATTCTGCTACAATCATCTCGACCAGTTTGTGGATGAAGGTTGGCACCCAATTCCTTTGCCTGGCCGATAACGGTCTCTGGTTTGGTCTGTTATTTGGCCTTTCCGTGGGAATGTCGTCGGCCAATTCGTCGTCACTAGAGTCTGTGTCCAAGTCACTCTCCAAACTGCAAAGAGATCTTCTTTTGTGAGGTGGTGGTAGTAGTGTGTACCCCTTCTTCACCAACTCCTCCACCTCGCCCAGAGCTCCTGCCACCCTTTCGTGTCTACAAGTATCTCCATCTTTGGCCGTCTGTGCCACAAACAATATTTTCTTGATGTATTTTTCAACGGCGTCTTCGATGGCGCAATAAAGGACCTCCAGTGAAGAGCAGCTCCGGATTCCGCAATGTTTCTCTCTCACGGTGGAGATCATGGAGTCGGATAACTTTTTACCCGGCGGTATGTTGGGAAAGGGGTACAAGTCCACAGGCAGCATGCTGGAGTAGATCTGATCCGTCAGGTGTTTGGAAAACTCCCGGAATGCCCTGTGGTTCGTCGTGTTCTCCGCACGGACGCCGCCAAACTCTGTGATTAAGTTCTCTAACCATCTCTTAAATGTTTCAAACTGGATGTCAGGAGTCTCTTCGTTTTTGTGCGTCATTCTGAATCTGGAGCTAGCTGGCGTTGAAGGAGTTTGTGTGGGCTGAACGCTCTTAATCTCTACCACATAAGTATTCTTTTCTTCTTTGTAGGCTTTCTTTATGTCTAGCTTCATTTGATTGAATTGCTCCTTTGCGAAAGTGAAGAACATGTATTTCCACTCTTTGTCTCTATGTCTGGGCAGTCGTGAAGGTCCAGGTTGCTCATTGAAATATATTTCCATGTCAGACAGCAGATTTTTCATGTCAAAAGCGCGGTGCTCAGACATGACCTTTACCGTGATAGGGGCCTGGGTGTTAGTTGGGCGGAAGTCGGACAAGATCTTTTTTGTCATACCAGCTACAGACATTGCTGTAAATTCAGAGACGAAGTCTAAATCTGCACTGTCCGGGGATTGCATCACTCTGAAAGACTGTCTCCATTTCTGAAGGATGTGTGAAACCCTGAAATTGAGAAACTCTTCATAGAGTGGTACGAACAGAACTCTGGAATGTTCTGGGATAGCAACGACGGTTTTGTGTGTGGGGTTCAGGACTTCCTCCGATGCCAAGCACGACTGAAGGCAACGCTCAGCCTTTAAAACCATTTCAGGGAGCTTTTCCAAACCAATGTGTCCTCTGACATACATGGCTGGTTTCGGAGGTAAATTGCTTGCTTCCCGTGCTCCGGTCATAACTACGTCCAGAG